TCAGAAGTGACATCTTTCCAATACTGAGCAAACTTTTACACCAGAAGTGACATCTTTCCAATACTGAGCAAACTTTTATACTAGAAGTGACATCTTTCCAATACTGAGCAAACTTTTAGACCAGAAGTGACATCTTTCCAATACTGAGCAAACTTTTACACCAGAAGTGAAATCTTTCCAATACTGAGCAAACTTTTATACTAGAAGTGACATCTTTCCAATACTGAGCAAACTTTTATACTAGAAGTGACATCTTTCCAATACTGAGCAAACTTTTATACTAGAAGTGACATCTTTCCAATATTGAGCAAACTTTTATTGATTGCAGCTACTTATGAATGAGGCTACTGTCAAAAAAGAAATTCAGGTCATTTTTGTAAAGCAACAGCTTGATTGACCTCATGATGGAACTTTTAAATGACTAGCATTAGAGGAGTTCTATCTTGATAAAACAATTGGTAAGTGGTACTTCAAAGATATCACACCAGAGTTCAATACAGAGGATGATCAATACATTAAATTGGATTTTAGATGTTATGTTATAAAGCAAGCCTACCTGTATTTAACATTATCCAGGCTAAAGAGGTATTTGTCAAGTCCTGGCCATTAGAAACATACAAGGAAGACAATGCACCATTTCATTAAACATACTCTGACCCCTTTCAAGGCCATGTCCATGTAGGTCATCATTGTAATATTAATGCTTTAATTCACTTTTGCTTCAATTTGTTTGTGTAAAGAATACAGAGTTACATAATTAGAAAATAATTTATCATTAATAGCAAAATTGTTCAAGAAAAAACAACAAAAATTCAGAACAATCCACACACACACACACACTACAACTTTATCTTCTCTACAAATTCCAGACTTTTCGTGGGTTCACAGACCCATGGGAACCCAGCTAGCTTCTCTAGGTGCTGCCACCTTTTTCAGGATGTTAAATATTCAGAAAATCTTTCATTCTTAGTAAGATGTTAACATTAAATGATGTTTAAGGAAAATGTAAGCTTTCTAATCCTCTGAATTCCCACAATGAAAAATTGTGTATGAAATATCTACACAATATTTACTATATTATTCACTATGAAATACACATCATACCACATCATTTCATTGGTAAAAATATGAGATTCATTAAAGCCAACACTGTCAAAATCTTCAAAATTTATTAATTTATATGACGAAAAAAAAAGTAGACAAATCCTTTAGCTTTTTAATGACACTTCAGATGATACAAGTAGATGAACTATGGTGACTTAATGTTTGATATTTTGAATACAAAATATAAAAGAAGTTAAAAATTCCAAACATTTTATGTGACTATACTGTTTCAACGTTATTTCAAAATTTCAATAATTTATAAAAATATTTTTGTAAAAAAGAATATAAAAAAAAGAGTTATAAGTTAAATTAAAAAAGAATTAATACTTTATTGTTATATTTTTAGACACGGTCTTCTTTAAAAAAACTAACAATAGCTAAAATATGTGCTTCACTCTCTTAGCTGAGGCAGAATTCCAAACCTTTTTCGCAACTGTTCAAAGAACACAAATGTGAGGACGGTGTGAGGGCCTAACCTGACAAAGGCAGGAACAAAACCCTACGAAAGAAAAAAAATTTGAACAACATTTTCATAAAGATAACTTGCATATGCTAGTTCATAAGCTTTATGTACATGAAACTGAGAAAAAAGAAATATTGGATTTTATTTAAATAAAATATAATAAATAAAGTATAACTTCAGTATGTGCAATTATTGAAATAATTAGTTCCTTTAAGACAGCTTAATGAACACATATTCTAATAAGTCCTACATTCAGAAAGCTGAGACAATCACAATTATACAATAAACACAAATCACTAACCTTGAAGAAGCCCAGTGGACCAAGCTTTGCTGTTACTCTTATAAGATGGAAAAGGTTCTGTAAGATAAAATCATACAGGAAATATTAAATTAAACTATATAACACATACAATAATATTACCAGTAGACTTCACTCTTACACAAATACATGAAATCTAGACAATAAGTCTATTAACATTAAAGAAATTTTCATACTGTTTGACTAAATTTTGTTTAATGATTTCACTTATCTGACCGATCTGATGGAACAAAAAATACAGTCTTGAAATCTGATGGAACAAATACAGGCCTGAAACCTCATAGAACAAAAAATACAGTCCTGAAATCTGATGGAACAAATACAGGCCTAAAACCTCATGGAACAAAAAATACAGTCCTGAAATCTTATAGAACAAAAAATACAGACCTGAAATCTTATAGAACAAAAAATACAGTTCTGAAACCTGATGGAACAAAAAATACAGTTCTGAAACCTGATTGAACAAAAAATACAGTTCTGAAACCTGATTGAACAAAAAATACAATCCTGAAATCTGATGGAACAAAATATACAATCCTGAAATCTTACAGAACAAATGCAGTCCTGTAATCTAATAGAACAAATAGTCCTGAAATCTGATGGGACAAAAAATACAATCCTGAAATCTGATGGAACAAAATATACAATCCTGAAATCTTACAGAACAAATGCAGTCCTGTAATCTAATAGAACAAATAGTTCTGAAATCTTATAGAATGAACATGGTCCTGAAATAAACAGAAAAAACATCAAAAGTTCTACCCTGTAAGTTCAGAGACAACTTATAGAGAACTTATAACAATACAAATTATGGAAAAATTTGAAGCTAATAATTTTTTCTGTACCTAGGTATGAAAAAATCTACTGTTAGCTATCAGAGGTTAATTGTGAAACTAGTCTCTATTACAGGAGAAAATAAATACCTGCTAATTAACTCCCTCAACATAGGCTTCGTCAATTTGACTGACCACATGACTTCTTTGTACTTGTTTAAAGTACTTATAACTAACTTTCAATATAGTGTGTATATCTTCATAAAATTTGGCAGTCTTTCAGCTAACATTACAAGTCTTTCACATACAAAAAAATCATATTTTTTTTAGTGAAGCATTTTTAATAAACTAAAATAAAGATCTGTTCAGGAACATACTGAGAATTTGTTTTGAATAGTCTGTGTGCAAAGTAATTTTCATTTTAAGATTAAAAATACTTTTCTTCATCTCAAAAATCTGAAGTTTCCTTTGTGTAATCCCTAAAACCTCCTAAATACATTTTAAACATTTTTTTCCCATGAAACTTTATATTTTATCCATTATTTTCTCTACTTTATATCTATATGGGATCAGTCAATTTGACCAACCTTGTAACCACCAAAAGAGGAAAAAAAAAATCGAAATAAATCTAAATTACCCTTTTTTTCTTCCTAGAATTATTTCAAGTTGTAACATGAAACTATATTTGTTTATCTTAAGCAGCTTTAAGCTCGTAACAGTATATATCTATTTATTATTAAATTTTATTGTTTTATTGCCCTTTGAACTGTGTCTAAGTACTATTCACACCATAATAAGTTGTGAATCACTCGAGGAATGTGCAGCTCACGTTACATTATCAAATTACATTACCCACAAGCTACTGCGAGCTGCTCACATGCGTGCTTCATGAAACATTTTTATTATTAATATCTATTTTACCTATTTTAATCTTAACTAACCTAAAAAGATCCCTATTTTTACATTTTAGTTATGCTTATAATAATAAATAGAGAATAAACATGATTAACAAGAAATAAAGTACTTATCCAATCTTCTTTTTTCTTGCTATCAATTGTGGTTAACATTTAACCCTACTTTTTTATACTAATGGTAGTAATGCATTAAATAACTTTTATTTAATCAAATAATGCAACAAAAAACATAGATAATATCATGCAAAAAGTAGACAATTTCCCCTAACTCTCAAAAGTTTTCTGGCTTTCTAACTATGAGACAAGAGCATCCAAGCTAGTCGTTAGTTTTCCCATGGGAACGGATCTTGTACTCTGAGTGAAATTGACAATTATCTGTTCAGAACACAATGTTATACAATAGATAATTTGATAGATGAAAACCTTGACTTTCTACTGGTTATAAGTAATATATAATTAAACATAAGAGAGAACAATTAACAAATCCTGAAAGAGAAGATGTGCCAGGTGGGTGTGGCAGGAGGGTTCTGATTTTCTATTTGATAGCTCTGTAACCAAACAAAATTGAAGGCGATAAAAATTATGGTTTGTCTGAGCAATGACGATTTTATAGTGAGTAATTTCATACTTTTTGATGGGGTGATGGATAAAATAGAGAAGAGAAGATGCCTAGAGAACATGTGTAGTGTGTGTCACACTAAGGGGAAATTCAGGATTTTTTTAAATATTGCCTTATAGAATTAAGAACTTAAAAGTTATATACTATTAAAATTTGGATTATTAGCTAAGAGCTATGTTATATTAATTGGTATAAGATAAACAAAAAGTAGTTTAATAAAATTTTGAATGTAAGACACTAAAACTTTGTGTCATGTGCAGTAAAGGATACCCGTGGTGATAGGGTTAAATAAACAAGAGAGAATACTCAATAGATGCAGCACTTGAAATTCTTATAGGCAGGATTGGAGTAAAATATATTAATTGAAAGGGTTTGACCTCATGAGTCCAAAACTGTAATTAGACCTCAAATCGGTCAAAAGATGATGGAGCTGTGAGCTAAAAGTTTGTACTTGAAAAATTCAGAGCCATTCTATGAGCTTCTATGCCATGGCTAAAAATTCCAGTAGAATAACAGATACTTTAATGAAATACATGCTCTTTTTTTCCACATGTAATTAAATGTTCTAAGATACATTTCAATGTTTTTGTTTTTAAAGAATAAAAGAAAACTTTAAATAAACAATATTTAAAAATTTTGAAACTTGCTTTGTATTCTCCTGGTTTTGCATTCATTGTTATGGTTTTCAAAACATCTAAAGGTTGTGTTACAGTTGTAGCAACAGCACCCTGGTAGAAATAAAAAATACCAACTTTAATTATTAAAGATGCATATTTAAAGTTTCATTCACAAATAAAAAGCAGTGCAGTATACACTGGAACAATAAATGAAAAAAGGGAACAAGAAACGCTGCACAAAAAGCTCATAAACTTCCCCAATAATAATAATGATAAAACAATAAAGCAGGAAAAACTGGTTCTATGTAACGACACTAAAAATTCATAACCACATGGTTAAATGATTAACAAAATTAAAGAGTAATCAAACTAACTACATATTGGTAGAATAATACATTATAGAAAAATCAAGACTAGAAAAAAGACTGGTTAACAGATTATAAAAGATTCATTAGCATGTTAAAGATTGGTTAGTATATTACAAAATATTCATTAGCATGTTAAATATTGGTAAACATATTACAAAATATTCATTAGCATGTTAAAT